ACTGAAGACATTGGTGGATATGTCGCTCAATTTCGTGAATTAGTTGAAGTTAAACATTAACATCGTTGGATGCCAACCGGCTCAGTGGTCTAGTTAGTTAAGCGCCAGGCGCGAGGCTAACAGGTCCTGGGTTCGAATCCCGAGAGGCGGGATCGTGGATCCCCACTGCTGAGCACCCCCACAATTGGAAGAAACGGCCTTCCAGTGCTTCCAGGTTTTCCCCGGTGGTCTAGCTTCATATGACTCATGATCTCAACTACTAAAAATCAACATATTTGTTTCTTGTATGAATGCTACAGGGTAAACATAGTTTGTTCATTGAATCATGTGTTATCCACTCCTAGAAGAAAGAAATCAAAAGATACTTTAACTAATGCATCAAAATCTATTTTGATGTAATTAGGCGTAAAATTTTGTTCTTTCTTTATAACTTCCAAATAGGAAACATTTCAAGTTTGAATACAATCAGAAATTACTACGTGGTTAAAAATTGTTGTGTCCCGATAACAATAATGAGTGGTAATTTTCCGGGATCTATTTATGGATCAATATTGTGCGTATATTTTTGTCGTATAATTGTTAATTAACTAAACTATTCATATTCATGTCTCTCTTATCATAAGCTTTATTTTAACCTATGAACTGTTATTATACGATTTTTCATTCTTGAATTATACCCTGTCTATCAATCACTACCTCCCATATTCACAGCCAAATTTGGCTAAATCTTGTACGAATGTTATTTTCTATTTTACGGTACGATGTGGTCTGTTTGATTGGTATATAAACTCAGTATCCTTGAAATATAATGATTCATATCGCAGAGGCTGAGACTTATGTTCTGGACTTAACTGGCTGGGCTAAGCAAGAAGCAGGGCCAATCAGGAATCTAGGCTGCTCGCACTTATTTTACGCGTCCCTGGTCCGATTGATAAGTCACTGCCCTCTAATCAGCGGTCACAAGTTATAACAAAAATAAAACGTATCTGGTTGGTACTTATGATTTTTCTTTAATAGCACTCTTCAATATGCTAAGTAATATAACTCATTTTGTGTGGTTATGTATTTACGATTAGTTTGCAATAATGTATTTTACTTATGTTTGTTTCATTGAAATCATCAGATTTAATACGTTTTGAGGAATTTCATCAGTTGATTAAAATGGCAGAAAATGTAGATGAATAAAAAATTATTATCCATATAATGTTGGAAAGAAGTTGAACACTACAGCAATAGAAAATTGGTTATAAATAGCTTTTCATATATGATCAAACAGATCAAGCGGACGGACGAGGGTACAGTGAGTTCATAGAGACTTATCGCTGTTATAAACATTATAAATAAATTGGATACGGTATATAAAAACGATAGCATTAAAAAAAGTGACGAAAACAGGCATAGATGAATAAGTTATAGTTTCTCTCGTTCTGATTACTTAATCTCTGAATCACCTGCTTTTCAACTATGTGAATATTCCGGTACATTTGACTGACTTGGATTTAGAATAACATATATAAGCGAACAATATTATTTCCGACTAGAGCCTCAGCAGGCTTTACTTCGATATACGGTAATATTTATATGCATTTATATGCTATAAGAAAAGTCTTTACATGTAATTTCATAATATACTTGTATGGAAAGCTTAATAGCTAACTATACAAACAGGAAATACTATCATAAATAGTTTGTTATTCCTTTACTATTCTTTGAACAGTTGAGACTAGGTTTAATATACTACGTCTGGAAGCATATATTACTGAATGGCCCACACTACATGTACATACGACGAAACGCGTGTCCTGGATTCCACTGCTAGCGACTATCCATCTTTGTTTAGTGCTTGTGAATTAAGGCAATATCGGGGCGATCCACATAGTATGCACTTATGCCAACAGGAGACTAATTAATTGCATTTCTAAACATCAATGAGAAGATACCAAGTGAAAAAAAGATATAATGAGACAATAATTTATGGACGAACCAATCATGTATAAGATAACAGGTCTCGGATTTTGACGCGCAATTCATTCATCCATTTGGACAAGCAGAGTTTTTGTATTATAGCTGATGTCAGTTCGTGATGAAAACCCTAAATCTGATTTCTAACCTTAATCATCGACTGTAAATTATAATTATAATTCCTCACACAGGTTTTTAACCCTCATTTGGTTCTGGTAACTAAGTGGACACTAGAGATTATAAAATATTATCAGTAATAAAAATTTTACATTTTCCTAAAATAAATCTAATACAAACTCTAAAATTTAATGATAAATATCAACTACAAATTAGATTTCCATTTTCAAAAGGAGTTTTTGTGGAGATTTTAGTAATTTTAATAGTTGAAATCATGAGTCAATTGAAGCTAGACCACCATGGAAAACCTGGAAGCATAAAGTTGCTTAAATAAATGTCCTTGTAAACATCTCTATTGAGATAAATATTAGCGTAGTATAATATTATTATTTATTACATTAGAAATATTCAGTTTGCTTAAAATGTATGATCAGAGTCTGGTTATTTTGAGTAGCTTTAGGCCTTTATTAAGATTGCCGAGTACAAAGTTCATGAATGCATTGGCCATATAACAACTTTATGTATATTCCTGAATATAATTCTGATATCAAAGGTCTAAATAGTATAAACTACATAAATATAAAGTTATATAGTTTTCTAGTTACCATCTTAATAAATTACTACCAAATTGAAGTTAATAGAATTATTCATTTATATCAACTATACATTAAAACAAGATCAATGTATTCTTAAAGTAACGTTATTACAGATTTAAGAAATGTTCATTTTATTCATCGAAAATTAAAATCATATTTATTTCCCATAATGAATGATTGATCTCTCAAACACGTGTAATATATTACCAGGTTAATTTGTAGCGGTTAGTACTATATCAAGATCATATAGGATATTCTAGCATTTGACCAAACCAATTTATTCGCTTAGTCAACATGCAATCTAACTGGAGTCAGAGAGGGTCATTAAAAGTTTAAAGATTTTTTTGTTTGTAACTTAACTAATGCAGTCAGCTTTTTATTGATTTATTTATTTGGACACATAAACAATGGTACGAGGAGGCATCAAATACATATGCGCCACACAGTAACAATGAGGCCAGTAGTAGTTATCATTGAAGTTATATTTCCCGGGTGCGCAAACTAAAGCAGGTGGTTCTCTTAGAGGACTAAACCTCAAGCCTTTAACGTAAAGGTGCAATCTACAAGACAGTGGAGTAACGTTAGGAGATACGGTCCCATGGTAGTTGGTGACCAACAATAGATTATACGTCATTTATCTCCCCAGGACCCTGGGGCGCATCTGTACTATTCGTTTGGAATCAAGGTATTCCAAGTCCCATGGGTGGATTCTTCATATCCACCAAGCCGGTAAAAGCAACGGACATTTACTTTTTGTCCTATCAATTTCGTAAACAACACACTTGTCGCGAAAGGTAGTGAGTAGGACTTCCCTGACAATGACTGTATACACGTGGCCATGTGAAAACATTTCGAGAAGGAGAATGGACTCTCCTCACCCTCGGACATACCAAGGCATTTGTGAGCAGTCAACTATGCGAGGTGTGAATTATTTCACTTGACAGTTACATGTGAATTCATGTATTGCTTTAGATACTTGTTTGACGGGGAAACTCTAAAACTCTATTTATAGTACAATAATTTCATTTTAAAAGAAGTCGAAATACATGGAAGCTCTCATCATATTCTAGGTTTTATCCTACCAATTTTGTCTGAGTTTTTATATACAGAACTGTTAGTTTGAGAACTCATATTTAGTGTAACGAAAACGGATGAATTCATTGTACACTACATATATACCTATCAAATAAATTTGTCCACAGAAATAGTGATAACTACCCTGATAAGTATGATTCAAAGATAACTAGGTAAGAAAACATCAAAGACTAATCAGTAAACAAATAAAACGTTTATTTATGTTAAACCAAACTTTACAATTGATTAGTAATGTTATTCAATTCTCAATTTATATGACGTACATATTCAGAAGTATCTTAAAGTATTTTTGACATTTATTATCTCCGTTTTATTTATATAGATACATTTCACATGGTGTTAGCAGACAAACTGGAAACTATTCGAGTGATCAGTATGACTTGTGATGAAAAGGCTTGAATGCTTGTATAAATATAAACTATGTCCCCACCACAATGAACTGTTGTAAAATTAAATCTGTATAGATTAAGCTTTATGGATTATTTAGTTCATTTCGAATTAATAAATTTCGATTTCTTACATTTGGTTACCTGATCAATTTAAAGTAGTAAGCTGATTAGAAGCAAAGTTCAATTTACTATTTGCGTTTTCAGATACATTCCCAGAATTATGTGTTTAAGAGGGAGTAGTGCTTTTACAATTGCATTCATCAAGCACTTTAAAGATATTGATTACAAATATGGATATCCTTATATCATTCAAAATAATCGACGACTAACAAAGTTACTATTAATCCGCTTTACAGAATCCGTTAAGGTCAAACACTCGTCATTCGACCTATGTGCTTTGTATGTAATAATGATAAGTCTCTCTTTGTTATGATAAGTGTAATTGTGATTAAATAATTTGATGTTATATAACATTATTGGTATCCAATACGATAATATGGTTTTTATTCTTTTACATGTTTATATTCATTCTTTTGATTAGGCAGTCTTACCAATCCAATTATAAACTTCAACAACCTTGATTATCTTTTCTAGACACATAGTGTCATGTTTTAACTATTTTGAACATCTCATTTCGTTTTTTGACGGCCCTTGATTGCACTCCCTATTTGAATGGACGAATGAGTTAGGATGCTTGGCTTCTCCGCTTTGCTTCTCCTCTTAATGTGTGTTTAAGTAAACTAGATTATGAAATAAATCTATCCAACTTAACCCGTATTTGGTTTCTTATTACCATTGTCACTCAAACGAGATTATACTAAGTGTAATATGCGGAGTTAAACGGAAGATATATGTCCATGGTATACTCGCTCATTCGTTTAAACAGGTACTCAGAATACAAGCCACCAAAGTGGTGAGTCTGATGTGATTCGAACAGCAACCTTCTGATCTAGAATCAGATCACAGAGCAGCAAAATGTTTGCCTGACATCATTATTTTAGCTTCTAACATGATCTCACTAAGTAAAATTTTTGAAACCAACATTTCCAATCATATTACTCTTTAACTAATGATTGTCTGCAGCTGATGAGAAGCCTTGAAGTAGGATGGGTTTATTTAATCCTTTGAATTTGGTTCATCTTGATTTATATGTATGACATTTTATAATAATGAGAATAAATATATTAGCAAACCCGTTACACAAACTATGGATTTACATTGTTTTTTTAATATATCCACTGAAATTCGCCCCATGCACACAGTGTCATCTATAAATAAAAGCGTTACATTATTCCATGACCTCAGGCTATTGTTGTCACGAATCGAAAAGAAAAATCAGGAGATTTTGCCTTGTTTTATCTTACTTATCATTCGGTTTCTTATTATGATTGAGCTGGTTAGCAACAGAGTATGATATTTATCTCTATGGAATCTGCTTAGTTCTTCACATTGCTTGGGGATTTTTGTGTTGTAATTTGAAACTTTACGATAATCACCGCTGAGGGCTACATTCGACCACCTTACGGTTGGTGTGTTCCAATGCGCAGTCGCCCTTCTTTAATGTAGCGAGTCGATTATCTAGTTTATTTTCTTGTTCTTATTGCTTAACTTTCACGTGTACTTTACTGTTTGAACCTTTGATTGTATATTATTCAATGAGTTCTATATTCTCATTTGAAAGGAGCGTTTTCTATTTGATCACAACTTTGATAAAGTAATTGATTTGGAATTTTTCTCTCTCAGTGTTTATTTTCATTTCCGTAACTATACTGTATAAACAGAAAAAGGTTTACTTGTTAGTGTTGGATATTTTAAGTAGTATTCGTTCATAAGGAGTCTCTGTACAAAAAATTTAAACTCTCCTTTCAGTTGATGTAAACGTTTTCCTCCTTGCTCAACATTGAACTAAGTTTCATATAACCGATGTTGATAATGTGATAGCTAGTGATATGTGCATTGTGATTGAAGATAAGTGTATAACCATGGGTCTAAGTTTTTGATCAATCCACCAACCACTGAAATGTATCTTATCGACAAATTCCAACCACTTAACATTAAACTGTAGTGTACGCGAGGTTGAATGAGGTATAATGTTGCTCATAATTCAACATCCAGTGCTTTCAGGTTTTTAACAGTGGTCTAACATAAGTCGGTTCATAAGTTCAATGAAATTCGGCGACCTTCACAACCTCAAACTGAAACGTATTAAAGAACCTGACACACAAGACGTTGATCATTACTCGGTGTTTAGAAAATGTAGTAGTGAGATAGTCTTAATTGGCTTAACGTAACAACAAAATCAACAGTGAATAAATCCCATTGTTCATGATTATTAACTGTCAACAAATGTACTGTTGTAATTGCTGCTTACAACCTACTGACCATTTGACAGACTATAACTTGTTATTACATCTACTTGCCTCATTTCAAGCATTCAAACATAAATAAATACAAATAAATAGTTCTAGATTAGACGACCATTAAAAACCTGGAAGCACTGAACGACCATTTCGTCACATCGTGAGACTCCTCAGCAATGTACATCCACGACCCCACACACGGGACTCAAACCCAAAGCCTTCGATGTCATACGCAAACACTTAACTTCTAGACTCCTGCGGTATTAATGTTTAACTCCAATCGATCCACGATCTCACGCAGCCCTTCATCCATTGTCTGAAGTAGATAACTATTTCACACCGGACACGAACTAGACTCCAGTAATCACGGCTTCTCACTTGAACTCGTTAATTCAACTGTAAAAATACTACAATTTCCACAAATTCCCATAATGATAAGTAAATAAGCTTATTATAGTGCTATGTGGACATGTAATCATCTATAGTAATATTAACATCTCAGTTAAAAAATATTTTTGTGACAAGAATTTCCATTTTCTTAATATCAAATTATTTACTGAAAAGAAATTGAACTGAAATTCATCCCTCTGAAAAAGAATATTTAAAATAAAGAAAAGTGGCAAAGAAAAAAAGTCATATGAAATCGAAAAAAATAATTCTATTATGAATTTTAATTTCACTGAGCTCACTCTGAGCACACTCGATAAAACATAGTTATCTAAGTGTTCTTTTTTTCTCCATAAAACTAATCAATTCCTGCCCCTAAGAGACTGTATTTTTAAAGTATTTTTATATTAGTGAACAATGTTAACGTATAATGTTATTATTGTTGTCTTAGGTCTCTATTGTATAAAATGTTAATTACAAGGACTTATCCCGACCGTTGTTGTTACCTTGACGTGGTGGTCGGGCTTGCCTATCGTGATGAAGCAACCGAGCTATACTGGCTGGAACGACCGTTCCTCAAGGTCCTACCATGTCAGACAGGTCGGTTGAAGAGCGGTAAGACTAAAAGCAACAAACACAAGGTCCGAAGGCGAAGTCGTACTGCTGACTGTACAGAGGTGTGACAACAGTAAGGTGTTTCCTTCAGACAACTAGCATGACAGCGATGCTGCCTTCCCACAAGGAGGGATGGGTTTAGAAAAGGTCGACCCTAAAAATGCACACCTCGCCTTATCCCACGGATATTCATCTCCAACGGTAAGGTCTCAGCAAGTACGGAGCTAACACGGAAATTACTCATAAAAGATCGTGTGTGACCGACCTGAAGCAGTTGTCCCTTGGGCATTGCAGTCACGCTCTCAGGTTACCAAGACAACATCTAATCCAATTTCCTTTTCCGGCACCTCCAAAAGAACCCTTCGACGGTGTGGGCAACCGGGCAGTGATAACCTCCCTCATACCTCTAACAGCACTCAAGACCGATCATAAAAATGAACAGCTAAATTCATTCTGTTCAATTTCAATAAATGAATGTATTAGATTGTTGAATGTAGATTAGTTTAATGATTGTATTTTTAATCAGAGTGGAGTTTTGTGGATATTATTAGTAATTTAATAGTTGAATTCTTGAGACCACCATGGTAATCCTGGAAGCACTGGACGGCCGTTTCGTCCCAGTAAGGGACTTCACAGCAGGGTGTATCCACGATCTCGCCTAGCAAGATTTGAACCCAGGACCTATCAGGCTCGCATACGAACGCTTAACTAGCTAGACTACTGAGCCGGTTGGCATCCAACGGTGTTAATGTCTAACTTCAACTAATCCACAAAATTAAGCGACACATCCACTATTGTAATCAGTGAGTTACTATCTCACAACAGACCCGGTTGAACTTCAATGGTCATGACTTCTATTTTTACAGGAAAATGTCAAACACATTTTAAATGATTAATTTTATAAAGTTTATAAAAGAAAGTCAATGAGATTGTTTGATAGTGATTGAATGATCTATTTAAACAAAGTAAATAAATACAAAAATTAAATAGGTATATTTTCATAAAACTTAAAATTAGTTACAATTCAGAACCAGGAAGTGAACAATTGCAGTGTTTTGGCAAGCCAGATTCAGGGATGTTAGCATAGTTGCAATTTAAAAACAATTCTTAAGTTTAGTAACTCCGCTTGGAGCCCTTTCGGAGCTACTGCCGGTCCCAAGCCCGGATGAAGCAAGAGGGTTGGCTTGAAGTTAGCAACCCCTACCCGTAGAAAACTAACTCGTTCAAAGAAAAGCTGGCCAGAAAATATTATTCAAAGCATTTGACCTCTGCTTTGAGTGTTATAAAGTCTTCATTTAGAAGAGTTATGACGTCTCGTGACGAAAGCCGAGTTACCTCAGAAGTCACAAGGCTGATACCCCTTCTGACAACCAGGGCAATGTGGAAGACCTTAATTTTGGTAAGAGATCATTTCTTTTTATTCTCTAATAATGTTTTTTCAAGTTAGTCAAGTTGTAGATATAATGTACATTTGTTTATTTAAGCCAGTAAGTTTTTGCTATAAAATGAGAAACATTAACTACTTTACTTAAGCTGGTATACATTTAGAAATGACTAAGAAAGTGAAATCATTGTAAAATTTCCCTACTTTTAATTTTATTACAAACAGATAACGTAAACAAAGTTTTATGTAAAAATAGTTTATAAGTATCAATAATAAGGTTGGACTTGATAATTTCAAATAAATTGGACATTGGATAGGGAGTTAATATTTTTTTATATCTCAATGAGCAGAAAAATTGTAGTTCTGACGTTTCGTGACTTAATGTAAGCAACCTCTTCAGAAAAAACAAAAAAATATTTAAAAAATTATTTGCTCTGAAGAAGTGACATACATTAAGTCACGAAACGTCATTGCGATAAGACGAAAATATATTTATTAGTAAAAATAGTTGTTTCTATTAAATTTTAAGCTAGTTTACCTTTTTAATATGTATAAGTAAGTTTATTAAATGTACTCATTATATTAATTTCTTTCTTGAATTATACGATTGTATGTTGATTATGTAGTGAACGAGAACATAGATGGGGACAACCAAATATATTTGAACACAAATTAACAGAACGTCTTAGTCAAATCTGAGAACTATACAGTAAATACTTAATCTGAAAATTGTCCATTAATTACCTCAGACTTGATTGTCCCTTCGTTTCTACACCAATCATTCTTTGTTCCCGTTTTATTTTCTTCGATCCTCTTAACGTTCTGCCGTTAAGCATTTCACTTTGAGTTGATGATACATACTACTTATATCTGTCGACATCAATATCACATACCAAAATTATACTTTTTAGTAACTAACTCTGAATGGTTTCTTTTTAACAGTATTTAATTAGAAATATTAATGTCTTAATTTTGACACTTTTGATAGCTAAAATACATATACATTAGGAGAACTTTAATTTACCAAAATATAATATTAAGAAAGTAATGAGTATTAATTCCAACAATAGTCTAGCGAGATGTATTAACTTAATGTGTAAAAAAGGTAAGTCATTTAGAAATAAATTTGTATAAATGATTTTGTAATTCTTTTACACTAAGAAAATAATAGTAACTATCCACTTACTTGTACTCAACCCGTTAATCTTTGAGAAATATTCCTTGAACACAGTGAAAGATACTGTAGTTGGAAATAAAAATAACATGAAAATCCACATAACTTGAAATTATATTCATATCATGAATGAATCAATGTTAAACCACCGCTGTAAACTTGGAAGCACTGGACGATCTTCTCGTCCTAGTATAGGACAGTGCGCATCCACAATCCTGCACTCGAGACTCAAACCCAAGACCTTCGGTCTCGCGTGCGAATACTTAACCAAATAGGATGAAATGACCGTCCAGTTCATCTAAATTTCTAGTGGTAGTCTAACATTGATTCATTCACGATATCGATCTAAATTCAACAATCTCCACAATCCTATACTGATTGTTGAAATTAAATTTCTTCAAACTCATTTTATTCAGAGAAAAATAAATAGGAACAGATCATAGTCCTTGTATTAGGTACAGTAAGATGTGATATTTATAAAATTATTAGGAGAAAGATTATCATCATAATTTTAACAAAACTGGTTTTGACTTGTACGAATTCAATGTTTACTTGTCATTTCCAAGCTTCCTAAGAAATAATCACATGATTTTATCAATATAATGTTTTTGATTTCATTGAAAGAGGTATATTCATTTTGGATTTGTGAACATTGTGTATAATTAGTTTAAGTACCCACAAGCTTCAGTTTATGATTTTACAGTTTTTGATATCAATAAAATGCTTCTATAAAATTTAGTTCAGTAAAGAAAGTTATGTATTCTGTATTCTGTGAATATATTCAGTTGACAACACTGGTAAAACGAAAATAAGTTCTATTTATATACAGATACTCTATTAAAGGACAATTATTTTGAAGGATTAAGAAATATACGTTCCAATAATGTACGAGAGCCAAAAAATCTGATAAAGCTTAGTGGCTTCCGGTGGTTTTTTAACCGACATATCTAAATTATTCTGTACAAATTTATGATCTGGTTTTATGGATTATTCATACTTTTCTATAGAATTATGAAGGAGATTAATTTCATCATCAATAAATAGAACTTACTTTGCATGGTTTCGATGAACTTTGTTTTATGAAATGAAAGACTATTTCGTCTACTTGATGATATCCCCAATGAATACACTAGAATACAAGAGAAATTATTATACATGTTTACAAATAATGAATATGAGCTGGTAAATATTATGAAAACAGTTGACATGTTCTCCCAATCTTATATTTTTTATAATACAATTAGTTGTCTGAAACATCATTGTTTTAGAAAGGGATCAAGCTAATATTTTGTCCTATTACTGTTTACTTATAAAAACAGGTATATTTTATAAAATATAGCAAGATACCAAGGATTTCCTCCCCCTTTTCTTGTCATACAATTAAACTATGCATAAAAATGTTAGTTTCTTATGTTTTTCAATCTTTGAATATATTTGTTTTCAACCCCATGTTGTTAAGCAATTTATTTAAGGGATTCTTAATCTTTATGTAAATTTCCTCGTTCAAACGAAACTTTATATTTGTTGGCTGTTATGTCTCGATATGCATAATGAATGGTAACTTTTGGGATCCATTTATGGACCAATACCAAATGTATATTTTTATCGTATAACTACCACATAAATAAACTATACATATTCATGTCCCTCTTATTATGAGCTTTATTTCGACCTATGAACTATTATTATACGATTTACCATTCTTCATTTATACCCATTCTATCAATCACTACATCTCATATTCACAGCCACTTTTGGCTAAATCTTGTATAAATGTTGTTTCCTATTTTATTGGTACCATGTGGTTTGTTTGGTTAGTATGTAAACCCAATATGTTTGAAATAAATGATTCATATCGCAGAGGATGAGATTGGTGTTCTAGACATAACTGACTGGGCTAGACAGGAAGCGGGACCAATAAGTACTCCAGACTGCTCGTACGCGTTTTACGCGTTCCTGGTCCGGTCGATAATTCACTGTTTTCTAATTGGCGGTATCATTACGTATACATTAACAGGGCACACAGATCACAAGTTATAACATTGACATTATCAAACAAAACTCGACAAGGGTGATTAGAAACGAGATATGTCTAGAATTAAACTAATTTTAACTTACTCTTCTTGTCATAATCCCGGGTAATGAACAAAATTTTTCTATAAGCATTTTCTTTATACTATCCATGATTGGTGACACAAGAAACAATTTTCCAAGAGATACTACTCCCATACATATATCACAATCTAACGATAAACATATTGTTTAGTTACAAATAGCAAAATTTTATAACTTACCTATTTCGTTAGCATCTATATTCAAAGGTGATTTGGCCTAGACAAGAAATACATAACAGGAATTTTAAACATCATTGAATGTTGTATAAATAATTCAAAAGATTTTAATAAACGGCATGGCATAGTTTCTAATAGATCGTAATTTTATGATATTTGAAGTCATTTATGCAAAAAATCGCACTTAATTCCACATATATATAAGCTTCCTATCATGCAGTGATTTGAGACTTCAATTATCAAATGAGTTTTTGTAATAATCAGGTGGTTAGATAAGAATGGAAGGATTAAAATTATGAAAGATGACTGTTCGCTTGTAAAATCTGAGAAAAATTTTAGCAGTTAAATTCATCAGTTGATCTAAGCTAGACTACCATTGAAAAGGTGTACTCATGAATTCATCTATTAAAATTACCACAATCTCCACAAATCCCCATTCAGATATGAAGAAAAGCAAAAAAACTACGTAAGGGTCATAATAATAACAATCACGAAAAATTGTCAAAGGATGATGATAAATGATAAGGGATTAAAATTATAAAATAATAATAACAAAAAATACTACTGAAGGGAATTAGGGCCATAGATGAGAGGTCATGCATATAGTATTTGCAATCAGAGCTCGGTCTTAAATTGGCAGATTGCCAAAGCCTCAGCAGTGCATAAAATTTTGAATTATTCTCCCCTCAATCCACTTCTTTTGATCGTGTAGATTTTTCTTTATTTTTCTCCATATTTGTCAAGAGGACAACCATATTTCATAATTTTGACCCGTACATCATTTTCATCCTTCTAATCTTATCTAAGCCTCTGATTATTATGCAACCTCATTTGATAATTAGAGTTTAGAATCACTTCATGATGTAATATTTTTTATCCTTCTATAGATATATTTACCATACAACAATAGATACAAATGTAAATAATTTCGTTTAAAATAAAACTTTCTCAATATTCAAGTAAACAATACCAAATGAATTTAAACTTCACTCCATTACACAATGGAGTGGCTATCAGGATTCAGCAGCTAAGTGAATAATGCGATGGTATTTGAAGCGAATGATACTGAGTTCGAGTCCCACAGTGAACATCAACTCTTGGATACAGTTATATCCAACTGACGAGTCCCCAATATAACAAAACGCTCGTCATGTATTCTGCTGCTAGTCACTATCCCTATGTGCTTACATTATTCATTACTTTGTAAACAATGTTTTTTTAAGTTATTACATATATATGTTTGTGTGTATGTATAATCTCTCCGAAAGTTTTATTTGGACCTTCTATGACCTAACTCGAGTTACACATATTGTAGATTAGATTATTTTTATCATGTTATTTAAGTAATAGAACTATCTTTCATTTCTAAAAACCCAGTCATCATCTAAATGGAAAATTAAAAAAAGGTTTTTTTCCTGAGATAACAAAGATTTACTCATAATATACGATACAGATCAATCAATTCTATAATCTGTTTAAACGGTCAAATCTGAGCACTCAATTAAGTACATAGGAAATAATTGATTATAATACCTTATAAAGTTTATACTTACATTTATCCCATTACTTTGCCATAAAAACACTACAAACAATGGTGATAAGTTAAGTATTATAAATAATATAACCTGTTAATAAGGCTAACACGACACAATTAATATGGAACATAATCAAGATTCCACGTGTTATGATTAAAATAATTCATATATGTAGGCGTCTTATCTATGGTTGATCATTCTTATTATTTAATATTTCAAGTGTTTTGTTGATAATTTGCTAAGTTTAGAGTTAACCATTATTGTTTTTAATGTTTATAATAAGTGTTATCCCATATATAATTGTTTATTCCAAGAAAAAACCTCTATTAGAAACTAGAACTTTGTTCTTTATCTAACACATAGTATATGAGGCATATGAAAACAAAAAAACATAACATAAGAATTTCCATTATTATTTTACTTATACTTTGTACTTTACTAAATACAGTGTGTACTATAATTTATTTTGTTAAATCTATCTTCATTCCATTTGATATTATGTTATGCGAAGGGAGAAGCAAGATTCTCCGATAAAACATAGAATGAACCAATCGAATCACAGTTGATGGAGAAGCTTTGGACGATGTAAAAACATTTACATAGCTAGGCAGTATCATTGATGAACACGGGGGATCTGATGTAGATGTGCAGGAGCGGAGCAGCATATCTACAATTAAAGAACAATTGTCAATCAATGCCAAAGTCGAAATTTTCAATATAAATGTCAAGACAGTTCTACTGTATGAGGAGGAAACTTGGAGAACTACGAAAGCCATCATCCACAAGATAAAAGTGATTAATAACAGTTGTCTACGCAAAATACTTCGGATCCGTTGACCAGATACTATCAGCAACAACCTACTATGAGAGAGAACAAACCAGATCTCAGTGGAGGACGAAATCAGGAAGAATCGCTGGAAGTAGATCGGATGCACATTGAGGAAAGCATCCAACTGTTTTGCAAGGCATGCCCTCACTTGGAATTGTCAAGGCCAAAGGAGGGGAGGAAGAGCAAAGAACACATTACGCCGAGAAATGTAGACAGACAAGAGAAGAATGAGCAAAAATTGGATAGAACTGGAAAGGAAAGCCCAGGAAAGAATAGGTTAAAGAATGCTTGTCTGCGGCCTATGCTCCATTGGGAGTAAAAAACGCAGTAGTAGTATTAGTAGCAGTAGCAGTAGTAGTAGTTGTTGTTGTACTGGTAGTAATAGTAGTAGTATTATGCAGAATGATTCTAAATAAAGACTTTTTTCAAAGATCCTCACTTACTTTAACTATAATGATGAACTTGAAGATTTAAGAAAATAAATATATAGTTTTACACTACAACCTTAGATTTGTGTAACTGAGGAAAAACCGAATGACATTTCTGCATTTCTTCATAGCAACATTCACTGTCCAAAGCTACAAAATTATCAAGAATGTGATAATTGATTATGTAATATGTAATATTATATGTCTAGTATATGATATTATGTTCAAATTCGAATCTGATAGAATTCATGTAACATTATTTCAAACGCAAAATCAACCCTAATTCATTCCTAATGATATATTCATGTAGTATTATCACATTTCAATGCATTTCCCTTAAACAATATGCGTTGAATGTTGTCCATTTGCTTTCGCCTACCAAGTATATAAGCTTTGAAAAATATTAGACCGCCTTACTTTAATTTGTTATATGCTTAATAAATTATGTATGTAAACACAAAGTGACTGTCTGAATGAAATTATAAGACATGAATATGGTACTCGTCATACGAAATATTTTGCAGATATATTCCATATACAGGCTAAATAGAAGTCAAATTAGCTTATAGAATCGGTACATAGTTGTATTTGTAACAACATGCATAAAAATGAATGCAACAAAACTAATATATTTGTTGAGACCATGAACCAGTGAACTTTAGACCACTATTGAAAATCTGAAAGCTCCCGAATAGCGCACGACAGCTTAAAATCTAGACAACTGAACCGACATTCAGCGATGTTAATTTGTAACCTCACTCAATCCACGATATTGAGTGGCTATCTTTCATATCTCACATATTTATCAGAATCTAGGTGTTTTACTTAGAAGCTTGTCATAGATCAAAAGTGCAACATTAGGCTCATACTAACTTTCACTGAATAGATATTTCTCATGGAATTGTTTCCATAGATAAGCTACATGAACCTCCTCATTCATGTAAGACATTTTTTACATTTCCGTCAAATGGTAAAATATTCGCATAATAATTTTCTATATAAGCAAAGATGGATAGTGACTAGTAGTGGAATCCAGGACGCGCGTTTCGTCCTATTTGAGACTCGTCAATGGATGTACCTGCATCCCAAAGTTGATGTTCACTCTTGGACTCGAACAACACACAAAATGTTTAAAGTTATTTTGAAGCTTTATCTCATTATTATTATTATTATTATTATTATTATTATTATTATTATTATTATTATTATTATTATTATAGCTTCATCAATATGACCTTGCACCCTTTTTATTTGTATCACTATTATCACATGCAGTTGTGTCGACAGACATTTTTCGAAAACCGGTTTGTCTTTAGTAGAGATTTCGTAATTCAGATTTATATCTCAATAACAATATTTTTCATGTGTTTCATACAAGTAATACACTTCAATGAAGTGTTCTAATTTAATTTCAATATATTAGATGATTTTCATAAATCAACTCAGTAACTTTAATAAATTTAAATAAATCATTTTGAGCAGACAATTTATTGTTGTTAAGGTTTTGTGCTCACATCTGACTTTATTATTAAATATGGTTCCACTTTCTAATCTGAAAAAAGTGATTCTTGATAAATATAACCAAGTTATTCATTAAAACATTGTTTACTGACGTTAAGGAAGTCTAAACTCTCTTAATGTTTGACATAAGTTGAATATAAATCGAAAAATATAAGCATAAACTTAAGCCTTTCCATAGAATTCATTATTACATTAGGATACATTCGCAGAGTTCATGATAGAAACACTGATTCAAGTTAAACATTGTCCAATCAGTTGAAGGAAGGATTGAGAGGTAAAATGAAAGTTAGAATTCCAAACTCATCACTAAATCCCTATTTGTATTATGTAAGTTGGAATTTTACTGAACAATACACTCTTCAGAGTTTTTTTTACAATTAATGTACTATTCTTACTGTTTGTCAATTATACATAAAATATTATGGTATTATTCTATAGAAAGAAATTGGTATGATGGCCTGAAACTAGGTTTTTTTGCTGCCAAAGATTCCCTATCAAGTTGTATCTGCAATCTTGATTTAATTTTCATCACATATTAATTTCTAACTAATATCAACAAGTGTTACGATATGAAAAGTTACAAATGAATTACTCATACCCCTAGTATACATTTTTAGTAGCGAAATACATATGTAAACTGTATTCATTTTCTTCTAAAGACTATAGACATGAAATATTAATAAAAGCTTCAAATACAGTAAATTTGCCTGATATGATAGCTGATTATTATTATCCGTATTATATTATGATCAATTAACACATTCGATGCATAAAGCCAATACCAAAATCTTTGTACTGCTACAAGGATACTTGACGTTTTGTTCAAACTAAACCGTTAAAGGACTTTTATGAATCTTTTGTCATATATCATTTACAATATAATAAATCAATTCAACGTTGAAGTTTAATAATGTATTTACCATTCAACCTAACAAAAGACTATTTTGAAAGACTTTAAGGCGGCCTGCTCGAATATCGGGGCTACCAGTTCCTGCATTCTGGATATTGCAGCAAGCTATCTGTTTTCTTGTTTGTTTTAACACATCATTATTAGCATAACCTATTCAGGTGCGTTTGTGAAAAGTTCATGGCCTTTCACTGTACAAGTTGGGAAAGTGCTCGATCAGAGACATTGTGATTACTGGCAATATCCATTGAGAAGAATAAACATTCTTCAGATTTCGATTCCTGAATTGCTAACATCTAACTGGCAACCAATCAATATTTATCTTAAAGATTGATCAAGAAACAAGAAAAAGAAACTTGTTGAAATACTTTGTGTTGATTATTCTATATTGTACTAAAAATAAAATACTGAGTAAAGCCACTAATAATAATAATTTGTGTATAATTATTAATACAGAGATTTAAATCAATCTAGAAAAAATTATGAGCAAAGATGAATGGTGACTAGCAGTGTAATCCATGACGTTTGTTTCGTCCTATTTTGAACTCGTCAGCCAGACGTACCTGCATTTCAGAGTTGATGTTCATTCTGAGATACGAACCCAGTACCGTTCGCTTCAAACCCGATCACGTTATCCTTTTAACTAGCTTGAGGATTACATTACTGGCCACCAGGATGAACAGGATACAGTCCTAAAGACGAATGGCAAGATTCAAACAAACAATACAAAATGAATTTAAACTAGAAAATAATTATTAGGAATAGAAAATCACCGAATATACAAACTGTAGCCTTAAAACTATAGAAATAGGTGAAGGGAAATTTTTGAATAAATCGATATGACTGATGCTTCGAAATAAATTAACATTAATTTCATTGATTTTATTATGACGGCTTCTTAATGAGAATTACCGTTTACTGATTCAGAAGTGATACATATTTACAAATCTCTGCTGTAGAATTAGAGTCTGAATGCTTTCATTTAATTTAAATATTCCGTTAATGGTAACTTATTAAAACTACGCTTTTATTTTCATTTAATGTTATTTGCATGTATCTTCCCATTGTTATTTAGGATTGTAATTGACCAGTCTCTTATTAGCATATGTGTATCCTGTGTCAATTGTCTTGATATTAACTTAATTCACAAGCATGATAAGCAAAGTTAAATGGTGGTTAGCAGTGGAATCTACGATGTGCGTTTCGTACTATTTAAGACTCGTCAATCAATCAATCGACTACAGTGCAAGGTCGTGCATGGAGGACAGTTGACAGATGTATTCCAAGTAAGAAACGTAGTCGGAAAATTCTGCTTACTCTCTCCCTTCCTCTTCTTCTTCCTTCTGGTGGTCAAATGCATTATGAAGATCTCTACATCTGGAGGAAAACGCGGGATACAATGAACAGCTCGGAATGAATCAGAAGATTTGGACTTCTCAAATAACCTGGTCGTTCTATCCCATACACACGAACAAATCCATTTGAAGACAACTAATGAAGTAGAAGCCTCAACATCAGTAGACCTCAACATACACAAAGAAATAATCAAGATCATCAAATACAACACAGAGAATACCGACCCAATTACACTTGATTGAGAATCTTTGGGAGAGGTGAATTATTCCAGGTACCTGGACAGCATCATTGATGAATAAGGAGGATCAAATGCAGACGTAAAGGCGAGGATTGTGAAAGCAGGGGCCGTATTCCTACAATAGATGAGCATATGAAACTCAAAACAACTGTCTACCAACCAATATCAACTCACAATTCTCAATACGAACGTCAAGACAGTTCTACTGTATGGAGCTGATATGAGGAGAACTACCACAACCATCATCAGGAAGGTTCAAGTATTTATAAATAGTTGTCTACGCAAGATACTCAACATCCGTTAACCGGATGACATCAGCAGCAGTCTACTGCGAGAGAGAATAAACCAGCTTCCAGCTGAAGAGAAAATTAGGAAAAGATGATAGAAATAGATGGGACATACATTACGCAAATCACCAACCTATATCACGAATCAAGCCCTAACATGAAATCCTGAAGGGAAGCGGAAAATTGGAGGACCAAAGAACACATTACGTCAAAAAATAGAATCAGAAATGAAAAGGATGAATTAAAAATGGAATGGATTGCCCATGACAGAGATTACATGGAGATTACTGGTGAGCGGTCAATGCTCATTCACGAGGAGTAACAAGCGTAAGTAAATAATTAGAACTCATCAGCATCCCAGAGTTGACGTTCACTTCAAAATGAAATATATTTTATATTGTTCATCTGAAAAAGTAACTTATTATTACGTAATCATCTATCTTTTCAACAAACAATTGAAATTATTTATTGGACTTTGAAACTCTTCTAATTTATTTGATACCATAAACGATTATAATTAGAATTATGAATGAATGAATACAAATGAATAAATATATTATCATTCTATTAATTACAAGTAATTGTCTCTATTATATTAATATAATTGGATTCTATTAGGTTTAATCCATACAACAATAAATGCTATTCAGGTAAATAATTTTAATTCATTAATTCTTCTATATAATAGTTAATAAATAAACAATATAGAATAGAAACTATACAAAATATATCAAGTGTAGATTATACATTAATACATCTTCGAAATAATCAACCTACAATAAAATGTTCCTTTTGTAAAATGATAGTTAATGCAATTAGAAAAATGATGACAAAACTTTCAACATTTCAAATGATTCATTTAATTATTCATGAAATGTGCTCTGTAATTGAAGATCATACAGTAGAGGTAAGATTTAATAAACATTTTATTTTGTCATATCACTTAATATCATTTAAATTTTGTGGTTTGATTGAAGTTAGATATTAAAACTGTTGAATGCTGATTTCAGTGGTCTTTAGATTAGACGTTTACGCGCAAAACCGAAAGTCCTGGGTTCATATCTTGCGTGGAGGAATCGTGGATGTGCAGTATGAAAGAGTCTCATACTAGGACGATACGGCCGTCGAACGCTTTCAGGTTTTCCACGGTGGTCTAGCTTCGATCAATTCATGATTTTCAACGATCATATTATATTAATTTACTAACATTTTGAATTAACTCGTCTGTCAGTATATACTTATATACACATAACAAAATGATGACCATGACTACTATTTATTATGTCATCGTGTTTAATAACAAAAATGTCATTGACCGCGAATGTTCTACAAATATTGCGGTGTGCGCTACTTATGTTGACATAAGTAGTATATGATGTTAGTAGTAAACAGAAGGTCTGGCAGCAGAGAGACAAGAGGATCGAACAGTAAAGAATGAAGACAGGATGCAATTCGTATGAAAATGCCAGAACAATGAAGTCTGAGTCATTCTGAGACAATTAGTGGACATTTCGCAAATGAGGCATTTACTTTATAATTGTTAGATTTTATTAACAAGTCCTGTAATTTGTGTTAAATACATTCGATTGTCCCCACCCGTGTTCCGTTCACTACAATATTAGTAAAGAATCCTAGATGTACATCTACTTTAAAATAAAATAAAAATATATTTTACAGTAATTTTAGGTTACGAGCAAAAGTAAGTTGAATCCATTTGTAACTTACACTGCCTAAATAGAAGAACTCATAGTAATAATAAATCGTATGAAAACGCTTATACAGTGATTGGATACTGAAATTAATACACTTTGCAAAATATACCATTTGATATAAAAGTCTCAAGCAGTATATAGTATATTCATTTTGATGTTCGAAAATTCATTGCTTGTCGGGTAATTTAAAGATCGTTTAATTAAAGAACAAAAATCCAGCTCAAAAAGCATTTGATTTTTAATTAGCTGTGTGGTTAGACATACATGATACTTAACAGTATATGGATTGTGGAGATTGTTGAATTTAGATTGATATAATGAATGGATCAATGTTAGAACACCATTGAAAACGTGGAGGCACTGGACGGCCGTTTCGTCCCAGTATGCGACCTGGTTCTGCTCGAAAACACCCAATCTTTAGACCACTGAACCTGAATCCAACGGTGTAAATATCTAAATTCAAACGCGACCGTCCACCATTATCTTCAGTGAGTAACTGCCTGTCGTATGGGATTGTGGTTGTTCACTGCTGAGCAGTCTCATACTAGGACGATACGGCCGTCGAGTGTCCTCTTGTTTCCAATCGTGATCTAACATTTATTCATTGATAATATCAATATAATGTTTCATTATAATAAGAGTTCAAGATTTTATTTTCACAAAAGCCTAACCAGTTTTTTCAAAAAACATTTTATCATGTTATCAGGCACCTTACAGTTAAAAGTTAATGATTCAACTATCATTTTATATCATGCTTGATAGAATGCACACAGTTATTTTAACTACCAGCTAATAATCTGAAGTTTACTTAGATCTAGTATCATAAATGTTTACCATTTTTTTATTAATTATTAAACACTGAAATGTTAAAATGGCATGACTAATGTGTTTTGGACATTTCTGTGAACCAAACGTTCAAGAAATTAATAAAATATTTGAACGTGAGAATAAATATATTCAAATACAATATTCACCTAATGAGTCAAGTAATTTCACTTGATACCTGATAAATTCGCTATAGATCTAGATCATTTAATGTTCAATATCAACAAAGTTAATCCTAATGTTTAACTAAACTAGTACTCTTCTAGTGAGCTGAACTTCAATGCTGCATTCAAACACTTGACAATATATCCGTAAATGATCAACTCTCAGTCTAAAGAAATCATAATAATGGTTAATCTTGATAGAAATCACTTACTCAATTTTTTTCAAAAATGCAGTTTCCCTTACTGCCTACTTTTATTCTTCATTACATGTAAATTAGATGTAATTTTCTGGTTCATTCTAATCATTCAAATGATTTCAAATGCTTCAATGAAGATCATTCAATTACTGCATTATCTATGAGTAATGTGATTTTTCTGTATAAAATGAGAAACATTTTATTCAATAATCAAAGACTTTCGTTTAATATGATGTAAATTCAGTACATTGAAACTTTCATGGCAACATTTGTCAATGTATAAATTTTACACCAAAACAAAAATAAAACTCTATCCTTGATTACAATTAATCCTTACATAACAGATCTGTTTGCTTAGAAACACCAACTGTGGCCAGATGAAATAAAATATACATTTTTAAACTATAAATAGACACTAATATAAAGTTTTTATCATTCTATATGAGACTGTTTCATTCATTGTTTTCATTCTTAGTGTTATGATGTGGCTTCACAAATAGTTGATTCTTACGTTATAATATTCAATAGAACTGAAGCATTGGATACTTGTATGGTAGGTATGGTATTTTCTGATGATGATGATGATCATAATGATGATGATTATTGAACAATTTCAGTTAGTAAATACATACGAATTTGATTATTCATTCAATAAAGATAAGTAAATAAGATTTTGGATTGAATTTTATTAGCACATTATAAGGTTACATATTTAGGAAAGTTCTACATTAGTTGTGATGTGACATCCTTTCATCATTGAATTTCCTGAAGAACACACAGCGGTAGATCAATACATCAGTTGATTTATGGAACCAAAATAAGTGAACATTTCAAGTAGATTATTATGAGTGAATGAAATAAAAGATATAACACTTAACATTAGGTCAGTAGGTTAAATGTAAAAGCTTCATCAAATCATCATGCATCTATCTTTATCTATCACAAAAAAGAACGGTTGTTAATAACCAAAGAAAAATATGTTTTGCTAAATGTACTACATGTATTGACTTTACGTTTGCATTAGTGAACATCAATGAATCTGATAGAATATTAGGACTGTTCGATGAGCCCTCAAAACACAATGGTAAAAAAAGAAAGGATGTGAGCTGTAAATCTTTTCAGTGTTGAAAATCTTTTACCTCCACAATAACACATTGTTTTCATCTAATATATGAAAATGACTCGGTAATCACGCAAGAAATCGTAAAAGGTTCTATGAAGTTTTATTCTAATTTCAAACTCAGAGAATGAAACTCTACTAGAGACACTTACTGCTTTAGTGTTAGCAGGGTCCAATGAGTCAAGTTATAGGTTTGTGTTAGGTACTTTCACATATAATTCCCACTATCAGTATTTTCAATACTACTTGTAACACATAACATATTGCTTAACATAACTTAAATGAAGGTCCACGTTATTTGAGTGTTATGTTAAGAAATTCATTTGGTTTTGAAATATTTTTCAAAATATACTAAGATAACCTAGAGAACAAGTAGGAATTGGAATCACTGAACAGCCACTTTGCTCTAGTTAGAGATTATTTAATGGTGAACACTGATGACCCATGTGGAGTAGAACATGTACCATTCAGTCATCTTGACAATTGAGACATTTATCGACTACTGAGTGTCAGAGTACTTCGTCGGTGTGCATTTCTAGGCTGTTCCAACCTTTAGAAAAACACTTTAATAGTGTACCTTGGTTTTCAGTTGTTTCGTAGCAGGAGTAAGCTTGTGGTGGAAACTACAGTATACATACTAAGTTGATGTCTCTTAAACGTTACCTAAAATTATACTTTAGTTTTTAGAAAGTGATATTCACATAAACAAAACTAAATATTCAATTCTTATTTAACCTTTCATTCGAATATTTTTTTTATTTTCTAGCAAGTCAGTTTCTGTAGCTGATATGCGTGGCGGATGCATTGAGACCGTTTTACACAAATTGAAAACATTTGATTTTATAAAGTCTTTTGAAAAAACATTAGTGGATAAATATTTATCACCATATTCAATAAGTGCCTGTTGTCAATTTATTTCTAATGATCATGAAGCGTTTTTATTTACATGATTTTTAAACTTCAGTTATTATTATTATTACTCACCATCTACTGTGGTGTGTGCTACCAACAGATATAAGTAGTATGTACCACTAATCGAAGGTGAAATACCCGGCGGTAGAGTGTTAAGATGATCGAAGAGAATAGAATGAAAACAGAGAGTGACTAGTGTGGAAACAAAGTTCAGTCTGTTTGTTTTGTGGTATATATCAAGAACTGATATTAGTTAGTCAACCTATGGAGAGTAGGAACCCTTTAAATTCTGTGTCGTTCTCATCAGTGGACATCCACTAGCTTACCATGGATCAAACCTACAAAATTTAGGTCTAGCAGAAAGTGGCTAATCTTTAGATCATTAAATCTAGAAATGATGATGTATATGTCGAACGTCATTTAATTCCTGATATCGCATGATCGCCTTCAGTTGTCTATGGTGAGTTATAGTCTCATGCTAGACATGGTTACCGAAGTCTGTTTGTAATGGAAATTATAAAAGTTTAACAGTTTCCATAATACTCCCCTTACAATTTATCTTCCCATGTTGTCTGAATACTGCTTAGCGTTTACTCTAATATTGATGTTCTTCACGAAATGTAGACTAAGCTTTTATTATTTTGGACCACAGAATCAGTCGTTACTTAACTAGAAAATTTGTCTTATATACTCAGTTAACATTGTGATAATATAAATAAGATTTTTGAAGAAATCTGTGTTCTATCGTTTACTACAAAAAAGCACTCACTTTCAATAAGCTGTTACTCTGTTACGTTTATAGAAATTACAATGAAAGCTAATAGAAGCTGATCATTTACCTAATTAACATTCAAATTTTTAATCATTCAATCATTACTACTAAAATGTTATAAAGTAAGACATTGTTACATTTGCATTTTAACTATAATGCACTGGAAGATTGGTCTATCCTGTCATAATTTTGAATATCACGATAAAGAGGACCGATAATGTATGGAGTAAATTACTGAAAATAATATAAAAAAGAAGCGAAAAGCAATGGTAATATTTCTAAATTATTAATACAAAGGGAAAAAATAAACTAAATAAGGTATTTAATAGATGTGTCTAAAACTAGGAAAAGTAATAATTAATGTATGTTGTGTAAAGTATCTATGTCTAGAACTAAGCCCTTCGCTAGATAACCTGAGATAGATGTTGAAAAACTTATAAAATGTTCCTAAACTTTCATCAACCAACATCGTTTTATTCTAATCTACTGCACTATTCAGTGAAACATAGTCGTCCGACATAGATGAATATGTGTGATGTCATTACCGTCAAACATAGTTCTCACTCACACACTTCAAATAATCAAGTTTTCCTAGTCTCTCTCGCTACAAATAAGTGTTATCTAGTACTTACACCACAAAAAAACATTTTACCAAATATAATTATGTCCAGTACTATGGAAGCCAAGGTTTACTATAGTAATCTTTACTATGATGCATCTGATTTACCATTCAGTGTACAGTGATGAGCTTGTTTGATAATTTGTCTCCCTTGGAACATTTTTAAATTAGATGATTCATTTATCCATGCGTTTATGCTAGTGTGGAGAAAACCTTTGAGGGATTACTGAAGAAGCCAAGACATAAGAGATTATATTAATCAGAACAATAATTGTTTAGCTACAAATCAATGAGTTTCAGTTTTGAGCAAACTGGAATAATACATTTAAATCATTTAGATGAAATTATGTACAGCTGGTGGACTGCTCCATGTACAAATCCTTCATCATTAAATATTTGTGGAATCACTCACTGAACACCAGTTCACTTTTAGGCTTTGAATTAGTTGAAGTCGAACAACAACGTGCTTGTTTACAAATGTACATTAAATCGAAGACACATATATAAATGAGGAGTTATCTTTCATTAGCTTCTCATAAGTTTTATGGTCACACCTTCAATTAAACATTTTAAAGTGATAGTCAAGATTAAATCTATGTTTGATTGGTTTGTTGTTAATTTCATATGTAGTCTTTCAAAAGCTCGCACCTAAATAAAGTGTTAATTAATAATCACTAGACTATTCCATCGTTCAGTTTCAACTAACATTTCCCTTTTTGTTAACTTTTTCATTAGGCACTGCGTTTAGAGGCTTGACATTGTTAAGAAGTCTAAGCAGCTCTCACAGTTAGTCTAACACAGCTTTCCTCTGTAATCGAATTAAGTTTGCTTATGCTGTTAATCTTATCCAGTGAGTATATCAATCAGCATTTACATAAACAGTATTACCTCGCATCAATTCCTCTGTTCGGAATTGAAGCTTAATCCTATATGTGTACTGGTTGTACCATGAAAAAGGGATTTTGAAATTTAAGTAATCCAGATGTAGAAATAATGTTGTTGTCAACTGTTCATACCAGATTAAGCAAATAACCAAATGATGCTAAGTATGTGACTTTTCTAGAAGCTTTTCGGTCACGTACATCAAAGAATTTAAAGACGTATTCATTGCAAACTAGAAAGCTTTGAACATGTGGCTGTCAGATTAGTTTATATTGGACCAAAAATATTTGTTTTTAGCATAAATATTCGCGTAGGCTAAGATAAACCTATTAAAGGAGGACTGATAACATGTAATTTACAATTATGGTTTGATGTCCAAATAACTTACAATCAATAGCACTTCTTATTATTTCTAAAGTAATGTTGAAAGTAGACTGGATTAGTGTTCTCATGAACGAAAACACAACTGGTGACAATCTAATGTATTTCTTGGTAAAATCTGAGAACCATGCAATAAATACTTAATGCTCAAGATGTCAATCAATTGTCTCAAAGTTCCTTCTACGAAATTTCAAACAATCGTCGCCGTCTTCATTGTTCTTTTGTTTTCACATCAATCATTCTTTGTTCTCGTTTTCTTTTCTTTGATCTTCTTAACTTCCTGCCATCAGACATCTTAATTTCGATTGATGATGCATACTACTTATATCTGTCGATATCAGTACCACACACTACAGTGTTAGTTACTCTGATGTAATTGCATTCTCAGATACTGAGATATTATTCTAATGGTTAGCATAATAAGTACAATCAATTCTTACTGAAGATCTTTGTATATAACAGAAGTTGACATAGTCAGATCAATATTTAAAAAAAGAATGAACAGATAATGTCATTCATTCGTTTTCAGTTAAATAAAACAATTTCTCTTCTTCGTGATTGAATAGTTTTATTGCATTTGGGCTCCAAGTTAATGTGAAACATTAATGAAAAAGAATTTATTTTGCAAAATCTCAGCTTGGACCAGATTGACAGATGAAAAATTAGGTTTACTTCAAATTCATTCACTTAAATTTTACAACTACATTCTTTCTCTTTAGTATATGATGACACTAAACATATTTTTGTTAAATTCTAAAAGTAAACTTCATTTTTAAATGATTAATATATCAATGAAGAATATTGTTTTTGATAAATTCTTTTCAGGTTCTACAATTAAACATCCAAAAATGGTCAGATTAAGGGTAATGCGCATCGTTTAAATTATGATTGTTAAATGAAATAGAATAAAATTGTTAATGTTTACATGATTCATATAGACTGTTAGTGCAATAACAATAGTGGAAGATTATGTGTGAAAATTAAGAAGACATAATAAGGTGGGACGAATGCAATGTAAATGAATTATGTATTGGGGAGATCAATAATCATGAATAAAGATAACAGAGACAACTACATTTGACTACGAAAGGTTATAATTACGATAGTCAAATTAAGCCATTCATCAGCTAAGATTACTATTAGTTAATTCGCCTTGAGGTTAATCAGGGGAGAAGAAGCGATTGAAGATATTTTTTGATGGAAAGTCTTAAACTCACATCCTGTAACTTTGAACGATATACCTTGCTCTAAATTTGGACATTTTTCGAATTATTAATTTGGATAGATATTTATCAAAAAGAATATTCTTCATTACTACTTACTTACGCCTGTTACCCGTCGTGAAGAAGCATAGACCGCCCACTAGCATTCTACATCTAACTCTGTCCTGAACAATCCTTCCAAGTTATTTACAGTTGCTATTCATCATTTTCACATCTGCTTCCAATTCTCCATACAGTATGTTCTTTGGCCTTCCTCTTCTCCATTTCCCTTCAGGATTTTAAGTAAGGGCTTGCATCATGATGCAGGTTGGTGATTTTTGTAATATATGTCCTATCCACTTCCAACGTCTTTTATTGATTTCCTCTTCAGACGGAAGGTAGTTTGGTGTCTCTCACAGTAAAATGTTGCTTATGGTATGTGATCAAGCGACATTCAGTATCTTGTTTATAAATACTTGTACTTTCTTGATGATTGTTGTGTTAGCTCGCCATATTTCAGCTTCATACAGTAGAACTGTCTTGACGTTCGTATTGAAGATTGTGACTTTGATATTGGTTAACAGTTGATTTGAGCCCCATATGTCTTTCGATTGTAGGAATGCTGTCCTTGCTTTGGCAATCCTCACCCTTACGACTGCATCAGATCATTCTTGTCCAGAGTTTCCTCATCAAATGTGATTAGTTTGGTGTTCTCCATGTTGTATTTGATGATATTGCTTATTTCGTTGTGTATGTTGAGGCCTACTGATGTGGAGGCTTCTGCTTCACTAGTTGTCTTCATATGGATTTGTTCGTGTGTATGGTATAGAAGAACCAGGTTGTCTGAGAAGTCCAAATCTTCTGATTCATTCCAAGCTGTTCATTGTATCCCGCGTTTTCCTCCAGATGTGGAGATCTTCTTAATGCAGTCGACCAGCAGAAGAATGAAGAAGAAGAGGAAGGGAGAGAGTAGGCAGAATTTTCTGACTTCGTTCTTTACTTGGAATGCATCTGTCAACTGTCCTCCATGCACTACTTTATACTTTAATCCATCGTATGAATTCCCGATGATGTTGACAATCGTTCAAATTATTAGTCTTTTAATATGTTGGCGATCTTTAAACAATCCTCTTTTATCTTTGCAATTTAATCGCTAACATATTTCACATTGTTCAATAATATACTCAAAGACATTTTTTCATTATTCAGTAAACTTTTTTTTTTACAAAAACAAACTCATTACTAATTACCATCACTTCACATGATGTTTTGTTGTTGTTTTCTTTTTTATCGAATCCGCAATCTCAAAGGTTAGTAACACTTAGAAAAAAAGCAACCGTTCATTATCAAACAGTTTTGCACTTTGTAAAATGATCATACTCGTTTGATTTAATATACAATAAACGATTGTTTAGAATCATAGGCCCAATTTAGTATTATTATCATTATATATATAAAGTCTATTATTACTGAAGGTAAAGTACCCCTCAAATGAACCTTGTTCCAGTTTATAAATTTAAAATATGATCTAAACTACTTGATCGTTAATAAAATATAACCAAAATATAAATAAGAATAATATTTAAAGTGATTCACTTATAATAATCTTACTTTAAATTTATTCGAAATCAAATACAAACAGGAATGCTTAGTTTTTTCATAATAACCATTTTTACAACAGGTAAATCAAGTATATACTACTTATAATAATAATAATAATAATCTATTCTAGGTCTAGTTACTTCAATCAAGCAATCTGAGGTAATGTTATTCAATGTATAAAGTTAAATTTCTGAAACTAATAATGTTGATAATAACTTACATAATCATATCAAAATCAATAATGGTAATGATAGACTTTATTATTATTTCAATCCAATTAATTAACAATACTTAAGCTATTAATATTCAAAAACGATTATTAAACTTTCCTTGTTTTTAAGAGAATGTTTTTGATTACTTTGTCTGTTTAACCTCACTGTCAACTTGTCCAACAACAGTTTATTATCAGTATTATAATCATTCTGTTAATTACTTACTTACGCCTGTTACTCCTAATGGAGTATAGGCCGCCGACCAGCATTCTCCAACCCACTCTGTCCTGGGCCTTCTTTTCTAGTTCCATCCACATTCTGTTAATATATATATATATATATATATATATATATATATATTTGCGATTGTATAGCTTTAAAGATGAATTCGCTGAAAAGAGAACTCTTCACTGAATTAATCTTTCCTAACAACATTTGTTATGCTATTCATTGATTGTAGGTAGGTACAATAAATAATCCTAATAATGCAATGAGTTCATTAAATAAATGATAAAACATTATTTATATTACAATCTTCTGTAATTGTATTACAAAATAATATAAATTATTAAACCCCATAACTTCATCTAACAGAAATTTACCGGGTTCCAGTATTTCAAGACTATTTAATTATACAATCTATATTGTAAACCGAATTTACAATTCTAATGTATTACGATATGCATTTTGTTTTTTTGGAAATTACTCAATGATTCTATAAGATCCTTTTCACTAAATAAATAATTAGTATTATTTTTCAATGGTTGAGATCATCAGTCAGTTGAAGCTAGACCACCATGGAAAACCTGGAAATACTGGACGGCCGTTTCGTCCTATTGTGGGACTCCTCAGCAGTGCGCCCACCGATGAGATTCGAACCCCAGTGCTTCCAGGTTTTCCATGGCGCTCTAGCTTCAATTGACTCATAATTTCAACCAATTAAAATCACTATAATATCCACAAAACCCCTTCTAATATTAATATTTTTTTATTTATATATTCAATTTAGTTGAATTTTGGCTATAAAGATGTAGGTAAGTTGGTCAATTAAGTGTTGAATTACTATTGTTATCGTTTTTGTTTATACAGAACTTTTTAATTAACTGTAAATTAAATGTAAATTTGTATACCATATTTAACCATAGTGATTTTCTTCAATAGAAGTGAAGATGCTTTATAAAGATTCTTATATGAACTTATATTACGTAACTAGAAAGCTAGACATAATAATATATTTTGAGAACAGTTTCTAAAATGACGAAGACAGTACATTTAATCACACTATGTTTTATGCTACTAAACCTCTATATTTGCAGGTATAATAGATAAGTAAATATTAACGAATTACTTACCTACTTATGCCTGTTACTCTCAATGGAGCATAGGCCGCTGACAAGCATTCTCCAACCCACTTTATCCTGGGCCTTCCTTTCTATTTCTGTCCAATTGTTGTTAATTCTTCTCATGTTTGTCTACGTTTCTCGGTTTAATGTGTTATTTGATCTTTCCCTTCTCCTTTGGCCTTGAAGGGGGTTGCCTTGTGATGTAGTTGGGTGCTTTCCTCAATGTCTGTCCTATCCACTTCTAGTGCTTTTTCCTGATTTCTTCGTTCACTGGGATTTGATTTGTTCTCTTCCATAGTATATTATTGCTGATAGTATCTGGCCAACGAATTCGAAGTATTTTGCATATACATTAACAAGCATACTAACAAACTTTCATAAAATTATTCGAATTTTGATTTAATGCACAACGTTTTAATGTTTTTCTATTTGGATAAATGTGCATTACTGAGTTCTATAGGTCATTCATAATTCATGGTTTATCATTAAAAAAACACCCTGATCATTTCATTGTAAACAGTCGTAGTAGAAGTATGGAAATAAATTTGAAGTGAAAATACTAAATAAGAGCACTTACTGTCGTAGATAATATCAGGTTTAATGTTAATCTTTGACAAACTATTCTAATCGAATAGAGTTAAGTAAACTCCTGACATCTGTCAAAACATATTTTTCATTTAATGTCTATGCAGCCTAGAAATGTCACTGAAGTTTTTAAGATATTGTAATTAGGGATGTGATATGAAATCCAAGGCAGTGGTTACTATGAAGGTGCAATATATTTAAATCTGAGTTATTCAAACTGTGATTCACACTCAGTATATATCATTTTAGTTGGTTTAGTGTACGTGGGTTCTAGGTTATCAAAATCACCGACCTATTCAACATCAATATAGTTTATCAGTCACCATAAGCGCTAACTATAGCATGGTTAATATAGGATTGGAATATTTGTCTTTTTTTAACCATAAAGCTGCTCAATTTATTCTTGAACATCAAAGCTGACGAGAGAAAAATTCACTTCAGTTTATAATAAACTAAGAATAAGTAATATTTCAGAATTTGCACATTACCAATGAACTTTTTAAAGCTACTGACAAACTATCATTGATAATATACAATTGTCACTAATAGTGAACATGAAATACTTTATAATGACTGAATCTATAGAAGTCAAATACAAAGCTACATTTTCCATTATTTCAGTTAGAAACATTAAAGTATTTAATCACTAGTTATATTAGTGAACTGCTTATTTAACTTTTATACAAACAAAAAACTGTTTTATATATATCTACAACTTTATAGCATGCAACCTACTGGAATTGGCACAAGAGAAAAGTTTACAAATTATGAAAGAAGAACAATTCACCAGGAATATCATTGAATATATATTGTCAATAACATGTGAAAATATAAATGATATGAATAAAAAACTTCAGGTATGTCAATGATTTGATTTGATTTTTTTCCATTATCGATTGAAGAAACATTGGTATACTTGTAATCAGTTGCTAAAATTAATAAGAACAATAAGGTTTACAGTGTGTATTGCCTCGATATTGCACATATGCTAATAACAGACTGATCAATTTCAGTCTTAAAACTCAATAGAAAGATACAAGCGAAACAATATCAAGTGATTTTAACTTCACCACATTGTACAAGCAAGTGGTTATCAGGACCCAGTAGCTGAGTGGATAACGTGATGGTGTTTGAAGCGAATGTTCCTGGGTTTGAGTCTCGGAGTGAACATCAACTCTGAGATGCAGGTACATCCAGCTGACGAGTCAAAAATAGGGCGAAACGCACGTCGTGGATTCCACTGCTAGCCACTATCTACCTTTGTTAGTTAGATATATCTGAATATTTATAGAACATTATAATATACACGAACTAAAGTCAACCTATTAAGTACACTGCTTGGATGTAGCTGAATATTGATCAAAAAATTTGTTTATCAACCGACAAACCCCATGTTTGAATGTTATTTCATTTACTTTAGTTTAGTTAACCGAGAACTATCAGTAGATACAACAGAATAGATGTTATCGGCAAAAAGATGTGAAGAGTGTTGGATTTCCTTGAAGTCACGAACTGATCGTGTTATTTCACGAATATCGCGAAATACGATTGGCAATTTCTGGTACGCTTACTTATAAGAATAAATTAATGACGCATACACCAGTACCAGCAGTCTGGAATTCTGGTTGATCCTTTTTCCGACTTAACTTGCCTGTTAAGTTCGGAATGCCCATCTTGACCTCCATGACACGAAGCATATATTTCAGACAAACTAGGTTTATATACATACAAATTAGACCACATCACACCATAAAATAGAAAATAATATTTGGATAAGTTCGAGACAAAAGTGGCTATGATTGTTAGGAACTGTGACTACGGGATTAGGAATAACTTGAGAATAGTAAACCATATAACAGTGACCATTAGATCAAATAAAACCTTATAATGAAATGGACATGCATATACATATAATATAGTTACTTAATAGTCATACAGTAAGAACATTCGTATAATATTAGTCCATACGTAATTTCTATCATATACTATTCATTTATACCCATCTCGATATAACAGATCTAAAATAAACCACAACCAAAAACCTGGACGTACTAGATGGCCGTTTCGTTCTAGCATGGGTCTACAAAGAAGAGGCCATCCACAACCTCGCATGCAGGAATCGAACACAGAACCTCTGATATTGCGCGCGTACAGTAAGCCTCTAATTTCTAACACGACCTCATACTCAGGAATGGAACCCATCAATACTGACATTATTGGGTGCCAACTCAACGGTCTAGAGGTTATGTGTTCGAGCCTGATATCGAAGGTCCTGGGTTCGACCCCAACACTCGGAGTTGTGGTTGAACTCTTGTGAGGAATCCCATACTGAGATGAAACGGCTGTGCAGAGCTTCTAAGATTTTGGTTGTGACTTATATTAGATTAGTTCATGAAATAAGTCAAATGTCACTTTGCACAATGTGTCCAAAAGTTTATTTTTCTAAAACTCTGATATAATATTCGTTTTGAGGATGTAAAAAGTGTAATCCCATATTTACGTCTTATTTACCTCTAGTTTCTTACTTCTTTCTGTTCACTTACTGAAATAAATTCGCTACCATAGTGTCCAAAATATGATACTTTTAGCTTTTACTTTTTCTAATACCGACTATTCAGTACCTACTCTGTTTTACCAAGTAATATATACTAGTTTTAAATTATATATCTAATTTTGGTTGCTCAAACTCGTAGACAAACAAGTGAATTCTGACTTTTAACTAGATACAAGAATAAATTCACTTGGTGTTGTTTTACTTGTATCTTACCATTGTTACACAGGACTGCAATTAATCAATTTCATGTTGGCATATGTGCATCCTGTGCAGATTGCATCGATATAGCCTTAAGTCACAAGCGTTCTAAGCAAAGATAGATAATGACTAACAGTGGAAAATACAAGTAAAACAACACCAAGTGAATGTAAACTTCACCCCCCATTTCACAAGCAGGTGGCTATCAGGACACAGTAGCTAAGTGAACAACGCGATGGCGTTTGAAGCCGATGGTACCAGGTTTGAGTTTCAGAGTGAACATCACCTATGGGATGCAAGTACGTCCGGCTGACGAGTCCCGAATGGGAAGAAACGCGCTTCCTGGATTCCACTAATAGCCACTATCCATCTTTGTTTAATACAAGATTGTTTATGATATGAATTACGCTAAATTATTTTCATATTTATTAAAATTCAAGTTATTTGTAAGTGATGTAACTCAATCATAGAATATGTATTCATTAATTCCAAAGAATTTGAATTCATTCTTCCTAAAAATTGGATCCAATTTTAAATATCTACTTTTTATTTATTAAATCCAGCAGCAGTTATATTAATCTAGATCAAATGAATCAAATAATATTCAAGTTCGTAACTGATTTTATTAAAACTCGAACTATCAATATACGGGTTCTCGAGATTATTAAGTTTTTGATTGAGATCATGAATCGATTGATATTGGACCACCATCAAAAACCTGGAAGCACTGAACAGCTGTTTCGTCCGATTGTGGGACTTCTCTGCAGTGTGCATCCACGATCCCGCTCACGGGATTCGAACCCATGGCCTTCAGTGTCACGTGTGAACGCTTAACCTACTGGATCACTGGGTTGGCACCCAATAGTGCTAATCTCTAACCTCAACCAATCCAGGAAACTGAGCGACCATCTTCCGTTGTACTGGTGTAGGTACCTGTCCTCAACCGACACGGATGCGCGCTGCTGAGGAGTCCCGCAATGGGACGAAACGGAAGTCCAGTGCTTCCAGGTTTTCAATGGTGGTCTAACGTCAATCGATTCATGATCTCAATCAAAAACTCAAACTATTTCGTGAACAAGCAACACAATAGGTAATACTTACTAAAACAATATTTACTTTAGTCACTGGTCAAATTTATGTTTCTAATGGATAAATAACTACAAACAGCATTATCAATTAATGATGTACGTACCGTTAATTCGTTTTATAGATTTCACTATAATCAGAACAACAATTGAATTAGAATGATACGATGTGATTTGATTTCATGGTTTCTTCGTTGTTTTTTCTTACGTACAAATGTGTTTGTATAACATAATATTACATAACAGAATAATAGAATGACAATGGTTACCAGCATTAAAGGTGTTAAAAAATATATGAATAAACCACACGTACATATATACGATTGAAGATGACAACGGATAACATGAATAGTAGTGAAGTAATAATGTCAACTATTTATTATTATACAATACGCTTATAAACAGCTAAAGAGAAATGACAAAATAAAATGAATTCATATTATTGTGCTCTAACAGTTATTCAAACTATTCAAACTGAACAGTTAATTTAGCGTCAATTTTGTTTTCATTTGTATTTAAATAAAGATAAACCTTGTTTGGTTTATACATTAAACAATAGGGTTAATAAGTTTACAATCTAATGTTTCATTATGTAATGAATTATTGAATGAAGTTTCTTACAATATCAGTTACATATTTATCTACAGATGTGAAGAAAAACCCGTTGTAGTAAAATTCTCTTTTAAACGTTCATGTTGTGCAGAACGACTGACTACTTAATTATTCCCGTTATTCCTTGTAGAGGAGCGAAGGTCAGTCACCAGCATTCTCCATCTATCTCTGTCCTGGACAAACGTTTCCAGTTCTTTCCAGTTGTTATTTATCACTTTCATGTCTGCTTCCTATTCTAGACGCAGTGTGTACTTTAGCCTTACACTTATCTGTTTCCTTTCAGGATTCCATATTAGCGCTTGCCTCATGATGCCGTTTGATGATTTACGAAATGTATGTCCTATCCACTTTCAATATCTTTTCCTAATTTCCTCTTCGGATAGAAGGTGGTCTATTCTCTCCCACAGTAGGCTGTCGTTCATGGTGTTTGGTCAATAGACAATAAATATCTTTCGTAGATAATTGTTTATAAATACATGTACATTTTTGATGATGGTTGTGGTAGATGTCCAATTTTCAACTCCATCCAGTAGAACTGTCTTGACGTCCATATTGAAGATTGTGACTTTGATATTGATTGACAGTTTTGGTCGATAGGCGGAGTTCGAGAATAACTGGTAGTGATAACTAATTTATACATAATATATTATATTAAAAAGCATTTAACAAAATATTTAATATTTTATTTACGTTTTATAATGATGTTTGTTTTTATTCAAGTGCAAACATTCAATGGTTAGTGAAACAAGAACACTCTTAAAAGATTTCATTGAATTCATCGAATCCAATCGTTTCAAAACAGTAAGTCGTGTAAAATATTTTGAAATTGATTTATTATTTATTAGAACAACTTAATGCTTATTTTGTATGCTTTAATGAAAAATGTTAATGTAATTAATTTTTACCTTTTTTAGATGGTGAATTGGTGTCAGTCCACATTGGAAACACCTCAACATGGTAATTCCAGCTTTTGTAAGTTGATAGCAATATAACATACTTATCAGTATAGAGATTGTGGAGATTATTAAGTTTTTAATTGAGATCATGTACCGATTGGTGTTATACGTCACCAGTGGAGCTGATCTTTGTCGGGTAAACACAGATATCTATCTCAGTACAATGGAAGATGGTTGCGTGATTTCGTGGATTGGTTGACATTAATACCGTTGGATGACGGTTTAGTGGTCCAGTAGGTTAAGCGTTCGCACGCGAGACTGAAGGTTATGGGTTCGAATCCAGTGAGCGGGATCGTGGATGCACACTGCTGAGGAGTCCCGCAATCGGACGAAACAGCCGTTCAGTGCTTCCAGGTTTTTGATGGTGGTCCAATATCAATCGATTCATGATCTCAATTAATAACATAATTAGAATGTTTTATTTATCTTCATATTAAATTCATAAAAAATGAATTTCACTAACGTTGTATAACAAGATTAGATAGAAAAACAAAAATATGGATAACTGGTAATCTAATGTTATTTTGAACTTCGTATAAAAACAAAGAGAATTCAGCTAAGAAAATTTTTCTCCTTCTCGGCAAAATCACTTTCTTAAGCTGTACATTCGTATTTATAGATATATGGAAAATATTTGCCTATAGGAGGATAGAAAAGATTGCATCATAAATTGATTCGAGACTCTTATTATCAGATCAGGTTACGTAATAATCAAGGGGTAAGGAAAGAATATAAGGATGAAAATAATTTATGGGTGTTAGGTCCTGATAAACATAATGAATGGTAACTTCGGGATCCACTTATGGACCAATACTAGACGTATATTTTTATCGTATAATTGTTAAGTAACTAAGCTATTCATATTCATATTCCTCTTATTATAAACTTTATTTTGACCTATGAACTATTATTATACGATTTACCATTCTTGAATTTTGGCCTGTTTATTAGTCACTGCCTCCCACATTCACAGCCACATTTGGTCAAATTTTGTACAGATGTTATTTTCTATTTCATGGTACAGTGTGGTCTGTTTGATTGGTGCATAAACTCAGTATGTTTGAAATATAAGGATTCATATTGCAGAGGCTGAGATCGCTGTTCTGGACTTAACTGGCTGGGCTAAGCATGAAGCAGGACCAATCAGGACTCTAGACTGCTGACACGTGTTTTACGCGCCCGTGGTCCGATCGATAATTCGCTGCTCCTGATTAGCGGCTTTGGGCTATAACAATGGGTCGGATAAATGTTCAATCGACAGATATGAAGAAAAACAACAAATATAAAATTTATTATAATAAAAACTGAATATCAATCAAGAAGACTTGTTCAAAGGTACTACTAACTTTAATAGCTGAATTCATGAGTCGATTGAAGCTAGTCAACCATGGAAAACCTGGAAGCACTGGACGGCCATTTCGTTCTATCATAGGACTCCTCAGTAGTGCGCTTCAATTGACTTATAAATTCAACTATTAAAATCACTATAATATCCACAAAATTCCCCTCTGATTATAATAATAACTGATTATTGTTTAAAATTACAAAACACTGCTTTAAAAAAAACCAGTAGTAGTAATGAAAATAAAAAACGGAAAAATGAAAAAAAAACGAAACAAACTACAATAGGGAATTAGGATCAAAGAAGGATGAAAGGTTGAACTTATCGTTTTTGCATGCAAAGTTCGCAAAATTCGTATACATTGATCATTTAACAAGTCCCCTCCAAAAATCGAATTTACAACGATATCTCAATCTAAACTCTGCAATTAGTTCATCAAATAAATTATGATCATGTTTGTAACCCATTATCACAATATATATATATATATGTTGATATTTATTTCAGTGTGTTCAACATGTGAAATGGCTGTATCATATTTGAAAACTTTCAGTAAATCTGAAGAAGCAAAATCATTTGTACATCAAGCTCTTGATAAAATTTGTTCACTAACTGGATCTTTTCAAGTTCAGGTGAATTGATTCGCATTTGTTTAATTTCAATCTATGTATATATAATACTTATCATTGACTGTTAGATTTATTGCCAGAGATATTTTTACTTACTAACTAACTTACTTACGTCTGTTACTCCTCGTGAAGGAGCATGGGCCACTCACCAGCATTCTTCATCCAACTTTGTCCTGGGCAATCCTTTCCAGCTCCTTCCAGATATTTTTATACAAAATATATGTTACACTATGATGTAAAATAATTATTAGGTTAATAACAGAATACATCAAGTACTCATTCGGTTAACTTTGAATACCATGGCTTCGAAATCTATTTCATATATGTGTTGCATCTATTTTAAGCAGTTGTGCATGGTTGACTTATTTAGTGTGATTGTAAGGTATACGTGTTGAAAATTCCCGTTGAACCAATTACATGATTTATTTAATTCATTAATATACACCCTCTTGTGCTTATTTTGATTCATTTATTTAAATAAAAATTGCTTGATATTTGATTGTTATTTGACGAAACTGCTAACACTCGGATACGATGCAATTGAAGGTTGTATGTTGTCAGTATGGGGTTGTGGAGGTTATGAGGTTTTTGATTGAGATTGTGTATCGATTGATGTTAGACCACCATGGAAAACCTGGAAGCACTGGACGACCGTTTCATTCTAGTATGAGACTCCTCAGCAGTGCGTATCCACGGCCCTGGTCACGTGATTCGAAACTAGGATCTTTGGTCTCGTAAATTAACGCTTAACCCCGTGGATTGGTTGAGGTGATAAATGAACACCATTGGATCCTGACTCAGTAATTATCTTTAATTTTCAAAATATATACTTATATCTCTCTTGTTATTGTTTGAAATCCCAGCGCGACTTTTTTGAAAAAAAAGATAATACTTATCTTCTTTAATAACATGAGTTTGATTGCATGAAATAGTTCTAAGAACATTATATACTACAAAAATGTAAAAACACATCCCCACTGTATAATCTTCTAACTTGTAAATGCATAGGAAATATGTTCAAGAATCTTAAACTATAACCAGTCATCATTCAAATTCATTAACAAATGTTCATGATTTGCTTTATTCTCATGACATCTCTTTTCATTACAAAAAGTATTTGATGTATTAACTAAAAAAACATCAATACTTTTTCATGGAAATAATTAGGAAAGAGAGTATATTAACCACAGTGGTTGTATTTTAAGAACAACTTAGTGATTTAACTTGCAATAGTTTACAAATATTTACCAAAAATTAGTAAGTACATTCAGTTTGAAGATAAAATAAAGTATAAATCAGAAAAATGTGTGGTGATTCGTAATTAGAAGACCATCATTCCAACTGTTTAGTATAACATGAATGGATTAATGTTAGACCATCATTGAAAACCTGGTGGTCTAACATTCATTCATTGATTCATGATATCAACTGAAACTCAACAAACTCTACAACCCTATACTGTTAAATATATCTTTGAATTGTTGGCAGTATAAGAAAAATTGAAAGACAAAGATTGCTTTTACGTAGCCCACATCATAATATCATCTAATATATTCAAATCCCATTAATTGACATTTCTAATTACCCAAAGATGAAACAAGAAAACATTTTAGTTTTTTTGCGTTCTATTAACTGAGAACAAATTTAAATCAAATCTGTAATTCGACTAGTTGATCACTTTACTTATCGTAATCATTTTGCTGATTGGCTTTTATGGTCACTTCCATTTAAAGTTTAAATTAGCAGTCATGAAGAGTAAATTGGTTTCAAATATAAAACTTTACCAAACATCAGTTTGTTGCTCACTCCAAGATGAAAGAAAACATGAAACCTTGTAAAACAAAAAAAGTACTTAGTAACAAAAATCATCTCCATAGTTTCAAATATTTCACTGACATTCAATGTATGATAAAGGTGAAGCTGTTTAATATTTTAATACTTCACCATTTTAAATTATTTAGGAATAAAAGTATTAAATGAACACAAATATTTAATTGTCTTTCTATTAGTGTAGCTTAGGAAGTTTAGGCTTGTCTATACTTATTTATTGTCTGAAGCAAAAGCTTCATTATTGATTAAATAGCATAATAAAATATTCGCGATCTGTATTTTTTTTCTTATATTTCAGTGCTCATTTCTAGGAGGAATGTTCATTGACAAATACATTGATACAATCTCTAGCATGAATCCAGATTTGGCTTGTATGGTAATTTATTATTTTTTTAAAAATAATATGAAAACATTGAACATTTTTTACTTGAACATAGATCTTAGTAAAGTTATATTCAAAAAGGAATGAAAAACTACTTTACACACTTTTACAGGAATTTCAATCGTTGTGAGTAGTTAGTGTTTTTTATATCTACAGATGGATAGTTTTTCTGAATGAAATATAACTAACACTGAGGTATCATAAATGATTTTATTGCTGATTGTATATATATATATATATATATATATATATATATATATATATATATATATATATATATAATTATATTCGTACTATTCCGCTTGAATAAGTACCTACTGCCAACATATAAACATGATATTAGGTCACTAAACCCTGTAGGATTGTGATAATTGCCGCTTATCAGCTATAACACTACCATTACTAGTAGTGAATAAAGTAATATGATATTTTACCATTAAATATGTTTGTTTTATTTAATGAAAGAATGTCAGTGAATATAAATACTGATTGTACTAAATTCTAATATCTATAGATTACATGTTACTATAATAAGAATCACTCTGGTTAGTTTGACACTTTTATGAACGTATTTTGCGAAGGAACTGTAGGATAAATAGGTATATGTTAAGGAAGAAAGAATTATTTCCAGAAATTCCGATTATTTATTGTCTGATATGACGAAACGATAATTTTAAATCTTCACAATTTAACATATTGAAATGTAACTACAATAGACATTTATTACTCATAAGCGATAACCGAACCAAGTAATCTATTCAATACAAACAATGTGTTGTGTGCTACTTATATCGACAGATATAAGTAGTATTTAACATCAATCGAAAGTGGAATGCCTGACAGTAAAAGGTTGAAAAGATTGAATAGAACAGTACGGAAACAGAGAGTGGTTGGTATGGAAACGAAGGGACAACAAAGTTTAAGACAGTTGATGAACATTTTGCAAATGAATTATTGAACATATAAACAAGTAACTCTGTAACTCTTTGTTCAAATACATTTGGTTGTTCCGTTTACGTCCCCGTTCACTACGATAGTTTACTGAAACAAATTCGTGCAAAATGAAACAAATACTCAGTTGGGTGAATAACTTTGCATTTTGCAGACTTTCATTCCTTTACTTCAACGTAGTATTTTTTTGGAACTTTAGAGTATCAAACTGATTACATAACATTTACTGACTTCATTATATATGTCAGTCGATTTGTGATCGTTGAAGTCAACTTTAACTAGTTGCAATGAGTCTCAAATGTATATTTATGCTTTGTTTTCTTAAATTTTCATGTTGTTTTCAGACAATGCACATGTGTTTATGAAAATAGATACGGTCAACTTAAATGTAAGCGATACATTTTTAGTATCGAACATTCTCGTAATATTTCTATGCTAAATGATAAACCAAATCCAAACTAGACGATTATTGAATACATCAAATATGAAACTTTATGTAGCAGGAATATAAATGATAAGCTTAAATCCTATATTTCGTTTAATTGGGATTTGAATGGTCTCATATAAAATGTTTTATAAGAATAGTTGTAAATATGTGAAACGAACACTACATGAAGTCGGGAACTGAGTACACAGAAACGCGATGGCTTGGTAGTTAAGGTATTTGATTTCCAAGCACTAAATAACAGGTTTGAACCTGTCTTTACCTTTTCAGTTTGGATAATCACTAACCTTCGTGCTTAGAGTGTGGCTAGAAGTCATATAGAATAATCTATGTCTGCTAAATATTTGGGTTGTCATAATATCTTTCATGTAATCTTGATAATTAGATTTTCAGTAATTTCAACTTCTTATTCATAGGTTCAATTTGGTAAAATTAGAATATACTTGCACGGTTTCATCAGTTAGTCTTACATTATATGTGACTGCTTTTAAATTATGCAAGTAACTATGTGACATAGAATTTTGATTGTTTAATCTCAGTTCATTAAAACTGAAATGATAGTTTCGAATTTCAACAATTCACATAACAATCTTCAAATGCTTATTATTGGCCCAATGACTGCAATGAAGGTTATCATTCTTAAGCTGTTTCTATCTGATCTAAAATAATAAACAAACATCTTCCCCGTAAACTACTAAGTATTTGAATCTGAATAAAACGCTTATCCTTAATCTAACTAATGTTTGGTCATTTCAATAGAAAACAAAGCATACAGCTTCCTCTCTTATCAATAAATCAATTGAATCCCACGAGCGGAATCATGGATGCGCAGTGCTGAGGAGTCCTACAGTAGGACGAAACGGCCGTCCAGGGCTTCTAGGTTTTCAATGATGGTCTAACATACATAGGTTCATGATCTCAATCATAAAAAAACACTTACTAATTCTTTACTTAAAAAATATTTTCTTTGCAAATTTTTCATTTTCAGATGTAAAAGAAGATTTCGGTTTAATTGAAATCGATTTTATTACTAAAATTAATTACTTTATGTTTGTAAATTTAATACACCATTTAAACAAAGTTTTGAAAAATACTTTTATTATATATATATGAAGCATTAAAATAAATCGTAAAAACATCATTGGTTAAATGAACAGCAAGTGAAACGTTCTGTCTTCATTACTGTTTTAATATTTGTTCGACACAAACATTTGAATTCAGGACTCGCGTTTCATTCTATTTGCGACTCGTCAGTTGGATGTACTTGCATCTCAAAGTTGATATTCACTCTTAGATTCAAACTCAGTACCGTTTGCTTCAAACGCCATCGCATTATCCACTTAGCTTGTGAATTAAGTCAATATCGAGGCAAAACGCACAGTATGCATATATGCCAATAAAAAACTGATCAATTGCAGTCCTAAACGACAATAAGAAGATTAAAACCACCAATATTAAGTGAAATTAAACTTCACCCCATTGTAGAAGCAAGTGGCTGTCAGGACTCAGTACCTAATTAAATAAAGAAATAGCGTTTGAAGCAAAGGTTAATGAATTTGAGATCCCGGAGTGAATATCAACTCTGAGATGGAGGTACGTCCAGCTAACGAGTCACAAATAGGACGAAACGTGCGTCTTGGATTCCACTTCTATCCACTATTCATCTTTGCATATAATGCTTGTGAATTAAGGCTATATCATAGCAATACGCATAGTATGTACATGTGTCAATAAGAGACTGATCAATTGCGGTCCTAAACATCACTGAGAAGATTCAAACAAACATTATCAAGTGAATGAGCAATATTGTTTTTAACTAAATTCTTATCGTCATGACATTTCTAGAGACAATGGTAACAATAAAATATATTATATCAATAAACTTAATAAGTAAAAATTTAGAAAAAACTGTCACGATGACAACAGGGGAATTGTTGTGATAAAAATATTATTAATAAAGCCTTGAATCAGTGTTTCAAATTAGGAAGTAGTTCATAAAACTAAGAATATCCACTATAGATTACTAAAATTACACAATAAG